CCCCCCCAACCCCTTTGATGAAAATTTTACTTGGAGCATATTATCATGGTTGTTTAAAAAAAAAAAAAAACTAATGAAGAACCACCTAGACCAATACTTTAACACATTAACTTTTCAAAATTATTTTTGCTCATTTATAAATCTTGTTCAAGAAATAGTACGCATGTATACAGCATATCCATGGTCATGTTATATGTGTCTGTGTGTACATGCATGCGTGTAGGCCAGAGGTCAATATTAAGCATCTTTCTCCATAACCCTCCACCTTATCTTTTGATTAGGATTACTCAGTGAACCAGATACTCACTATTTCACAGCAATTAGTTGGATAGTAAGATACAGGATCCTGTCTCTGCCTCATAGGACGGGGGCTACCTTTATACGCTGCCACGCCTAGCTTTTTTCCTGGGTTCTGGATAATCATAGTCAGATCCTCACGCTTACACAGAATTTTTTTTGAGGCAGGGTCCCCACCTCGCCCCTGAGCTCCGAGTCTAGTTTTGGGTAGGCTGGTGTCCAATGAGCTCTGGGGATCTGCCTATCTTTGTCTCTCTAGCACAGGAGCTGCAGACACTGCATGCAATACTGTCCCTGGCTCTTACGGGGTTGTTGGGTTTTTGAGCTCAGGTTTTTTTGAATTTGTGGTAGGTATTTTACAGACTGAGCTACCTGGACTATCTCTTGGACTACCTCACATTACATCCACAAATGGAAACCAGATGCACAGTTTCACATGTCTGCAAGGAGACAGGCAGCACGTATGAAAGCGATACTTTAAGAGTGCCAAGTCTGCCAAATGTTCCACCTCCGATTCTTTTCCCAGAAGCTCCTCCCTCCATCTCTCATTCTAACCTATCTATGTTTTTCTTATCTTAAAAACCACAGACATCAGCATAGAGAAGAGGATTCATGTGTCCATGGCTTGCCTGTGTACAGAATGCGGCTGATCATCCCTGGTATCACCATGAGGAACATGGGCAGCAGCTTCAGGTAGCCACACACAATGCAGGCCGCCTTCACGTGAGACATGTTCTTGCCACACAAGCAGCGCTGTACGGTGACCTGCCGGGAAAACACAATGCATTTTAGTGTAACAATCTGATAATGACTTTAAACAAGGCGAGAATACACTTTCAAGTTTATTTTCATAATAAAAAAAAAAAATCATACTGTCGGGACTGAAGAGATGGCTCAGCCATGAAGCACACTTACTGCTCTTAGACAGGCTCTAGATTCAGTTCTCAGCAGCCCTGCGGTGGCTCACCACCACCTGTGGTTCAGGGTTAAAGATGTTGGGCGCTCGTCCAGAAGACCTGGCTTTGAGTGGCGGTACCCACTTGATAGATAGCTGCCATCTGTAACTTCCTGTTTCACGGAATTTGATGCCCTCTACTGGCTTCTTTGGGCACCAGGCACACATGTCCAGACACACATACAAACAAAAACAACCACACGCATAAAAATAAATATTTTTTTAAATGCCATGAAGAAAATAGGGTCATCGGGGATCTATTTTTTTTTGTCTTTTACTTTGTGTTTTGAGGTTATAATGTAATTACATTTCTCCTTTCCCTTTCCTTCCTTCAAACACTTCTGTATATCCTTCCTTGCTGTCTTACAAATTCATGACCTCTTTTTTCATTGTTATTGCATGCATTATATATACATATATATATATTCCCAAATATACCTGATCAGTATATATGTCAGTAAATATATCTGCATAAGGTTACTTGAATGTATGTCTTTGGGAGCTAACAATTTAGTAATAAATATCCAATTGGTATGCTCTTCACTGGGGAAGACTATTTCTCCTGCTGTCAGTATTTTGTAGTTGTAATTATTTGTGTAAGACTGAGGCCTCATGGGCTTTTCTAGGAGACATATATCAACATAGCTAAGGCAACATACAGGAAGCTCACAGCCAACATCTTCCTTAATAGAGGAAATTTCTAAGCTTCTCCATTAAAGTCAGTAATGTCAACTCTTCAGACCCCTCTTCAACATAGTGCTTCAAGTCCTCACTGGAGTGATAAAGGTGATAAAGAGGGTGTAAGTAGGAAAGGAAGAGTCAAAGTGTCTCTATTTGTAGGTGGTACTATTATACATATAAAAGACCCTGAAACTTTATACAGGTGGCAAGTGATTCAGCAAACCAGCAAGATACAAAATTAACACTGAAAAGAAAAATCAGTAGCCTTCTTGAATACAAATGATAAATATGCCAGGAAGAAAATCAATAAAACAATGTTATTCAAAATTGTTTCAAAATCTTGAAATAAATATAATTAAGGCTTGTACAATCAAAATTTTAAGACAATGAAAAAATACAATTGAAAATGATACCAGATAATAGAAAAGCATCCTGTGCTCATTGATTGGTAGGATTAATATTGTGAAAACGTCCATCTTACCAAAAGCAACTACATATTCAGTGAAATACCTATTCAAATTATAATAAAAATTCTTCATATAAATTGGAAAAATAATCTTAAACTTAATATGAAAATAAGAAAGACTCAGGGTAGAAAAAAAAATCCTGAAAAAGAAAACACTGCTGAAAGGTTTTGTTTTCATTTCAAGTTATACTTAAGAGTTATAGTAATGAAAACAGCATGGTATCGGCATAAAAACAAGTTCATTGACCAGTGGAATAGAATTGAGGCCCCAAATATAGACCCACACTCACACATCCATTTGATTTTTTTTTATAGCTCATCCTGCACAAAACTAAACTTCACATGGGTAAGAGATGTCAATATAAAACCTGCTATTCTGCAGCCGACAGAGAAGAAAGTAGGCAGTAAGTAGGCTTGAGTTCACTGGCACATAAAAGACTTTCTGAACAGGGTCCTGATAGTGCACTCATCAAGACTCATATTTAATTAACGGGACTCATGAAACCAAAGAGTTTCTGCATAAAAGACATAAAGGACACCATAGCCAGAATAAAAGAGCAGTCTAGAAAATTGAGAAAATACCCTATACATCTGACAGAAGGTTAATATCTAGACTATATAAAGAACTCAAAAAATTAAACATTAAGAAACCTAGCAACCCAACTAAAAGTGGAGCATAGAACTAAACAGAGAGTTATCAAATGATGAAATTAAAGTAGCTGAGAACACTTTAAAAGTGTTCAACATCCTTGCCAGACAGTGGTGGCACACGCCCTTAATCCCAGCACTCAGGAGGCAGAGGCAGGCGGATTTCTGTGAGTTCAAGAACAGCCTAGTCTACAGAGCTAGTTCTAATACAGAAACTCTGTCTCTAAAAACAAAACAACAGCAACAAAAGTTCACTATCCTTAGCCATCAATGCAGGGAGATCCAAATTAAAATTACTTTAAAAGTTCATCTTACCCCAATTAGAATGGCTAAGGTTAACAAGACAATCAGAAACAAATACTGGAGAGGATATGGGGAAGAGGAACATTTATTCACTGAGAATTCAAACAGGGGCAACTGCTATGAAAATCAATGTGGAGGTTTCTCAAAAAGCTAAAAATACATTTTCTATATGATCCAGCTCTCCCACTCTTCAGTTTATGCCCCAAGAAATTACTATCCTATTCTAGAGATACTTGCTTCTCCATCTGAATTCCCTTCAGTTGATGAATGGATGATAAAACATGGTATATTTATAAAAGTAAGTATAAATTAACTATTAAATCAACTATTAAAAATGAAATTGTCAGGTAAGTGGAGGGAGCTAGAAATAGTCATTCTGAATGAGGTACTCCAGACCCAGAAAGACAAATGTCTCTCTTGCTCTCATCTATGAATAGTCACTTTGAATCTTAAGATATGTGTTTCAAGTGGAATATCTATAGAGGTCAGGGAATTACTGACAGGCTATATGAAGGGATTTTTATGGGGAATAAGGACACACTGGTATAAAGGGTAAAGGGGGAAATAATGGAATAAGAATGGTTAAAATGAGATGATAGGGTAGAAAAGAGACTATGGGAAGGGGTAAATAACACTAAGGATCTCTTGAAAAGACATATGGAAACACACTAGTATAAAAGTTTTCACACACACACACACACACACACACACAAAATGTTAAAATGAAGTTACCTTATAACAGAGTAGGAGCGCCACTACTAGATTCCTGAGGCTAATATGTAAAATTTCCAGTGCTAGTTATGGGTTACTTCTTTAAGTAGGGATGGATAATGAGGTACCATAGGCAGCTCCCTTAAAATTACAGGTTATTGCCATTGCTCTTGGCTACCCTTGAGAACTTGACAATTAGATACTAGTGCTGAAGACATCATGTAGTTGAGTGACAAAATATCAAGCTAATACAGACCTGGAAAGTTCATCCGTGCTGGACAGCTTTCATAGAGCTGGAAGGTGCTAAAAACAAGCTACAAGAGGAGAAGACTCATCATCAGCCATACTCAGCTGTTAGCCCTGCAAGCTATAATCATGACTGGTCTAGCAAGATGTGACCACTGGTGAAGTATGAATATGATTGGGAGTAACCAATGACTTTATCATTGGATTAAAGTTCCACTCCACAACATGAAGCTCATACATGACAACATTATCACACCAAGAACCTATAGCTAGTCAAGACATTGTCCCTAGAGAAGAACCTAATAATATTATGCCGCTAAATGGACATAATATTCAACTCACTCCTGATGGCTTATTCTGTACTCATAACTCAATGTATCTCTGAACTCTCATCTGAGAATCTTGGATTTGCTGAAGATGGTTATTAACATAGAAAACCCACAATTGGACAAGTAATAAAGTGTAGAATGACTAGCCTTAAAGAGGAACATATGTGCTGGGCAGTGGTGGTGTCTGCCTTTAATTCCAGCACTCATAAGGTAGAGGCAGGCAGATCGCTATGAGTTCTAGGCCAGCCTGGTGTACAGAGTCAGTTCCAAGACAGCCAGGACTACACAGAGAAACCCTGTCTCAAGAAAGAAGGAAAGAAAGAAAGAAAAGAAAGTAAGAGAAAAAGAATTAAATGAAAAAGAAGAGAAAGAAAAGAAAAAAGAAAAAGAATATATGTACTACTCATAACCCCATTCAAGGCTCAGGGATCAATGCAGAAGAGGGGCAGAAAAAGTGTAAGAACAAGAGGAAGTGGCTGACTACGAGGAAATATCTGGACACATAGGGCAGCTGCATACAGGAACTCACAATGATTGTGACACCATGCACAGAACCTGTTGAAGCTCAAGCCAGACCAGATCCCAGCACTAGAGCGGGGAATGGAGCTACTGACAATCATTAGCTGCTGGGAGAAGAAGAGAGTTTAGCCTCTAATATTTGACCACACTCCAGTGGAAGGCCACACATCTAATAAGACTTGAGCAGCACAAATTGGCCTTGAAGAATTGAAAGAAAGGGGATACAAAGTTTGGTGGTTGGATCTGGGAGAGTTGAGAGGGGTGATATGATTGAACAACACACTGAAGAAAACTTTCAAAGAACAATATTTAAATACATATTATATTTTCTATTTTAGAAAAAATATATATGTGTTGATATAATGTTCTTTTAAAATGTATATGCCTTACCCTTGTTAATTCAAATGCTGATTTCCCCACCCCCAACTCTCTGGTTTCAACCCAGATATTGCATTGTGATACTCACTATAAGTATCCTGTCTCAACTCTTGTGTAAACAGGAACAAAATAAAAGCAACTAGACACAATGTTGAGCAGGGAGGAGCCAGAGGACAGGAAAGAGGGGAGGAGCCAGGAGGCAGGAGAAGAGTGGGAGGAGAGAAAGTGAGGAGAGCAGAGCTGGATGAGAGATCTTGGAGGACATGGAGCATGAACCAGACCTAAGATTTCACAAAAAGCAAGTATAATGTGGGAAATCTAAATGTTAGGAAACTGAGGGCTTGAATGTTTAAGAGGGAGTAAATATTGCCCAGCATTGTGTTCTAGGTTAACTAAAAACCCAGTCTCTATGTGGTGATTTGGTTTTACAGCTGCTGAGGATTAACAGCAGTGTTACTAGAAGATAAACCAATAGTAAATATTAATAGTCGCTTACAACATATATGTATTAGTGGGGAGGATGGAAAAA